CAATCCAGACATAGAAAGTATAGATGCTCACGTCTGGTGTTCGGGTCCCGACGTAGATGAAAGAGGATCAATTTCATTGTTGTTTAGCTCTTTGCCTACGGGAACGTACAGTACGGTGAAGACACTGTCGATAGGCGGTGAAATGTTCTCCGAGTTATACGCATGTGAAATCCCCAAACTCATATCCCATTTGCGTCACCTGGAGAGCCTAACCATGCATATTACCATACCCGATGTATTTTGGGACGGATTACAGGAGCATGGAATATGCTTGGTGTCTCTCACATATTACGATCCCAGTCTGGCGTTACTGTCGTATCTCTCGTCCTATACAGGGCTTCGTGAACTGTCACTTAACATGTTGTCAGCCTCGATCGATGGCAATCTCCATATCTCATCCCTTCTTCCGACTGTCATCACTTCAAATTCTTCGTCCTTGACGACAGTTCACATTGAGCCCCACCATGGCGGAGCATGGTGCTTGGACCATCCTATGCTAGATGCTTTGGTTCTTTGCCGCGGTCTGAAGTCATTACATGTCTGCGCTGACGAAACGAGAGTTCGAGTAGAAGAAAACAATGTTATTGTGAGTCCCTCACTTCGTCCCCGACATGATCAGTCCGTCGGCTAATTGTGTTCGTAGGATAGAATATTACAAGCTTCCATGACATCCTGGCCGAATCTCTGGGATCTTCAAATAAGAGTGGTGCCTCTTGCCGATGAAGCAGTGAAAATGGCCACAAGTCAAATCCATAGGCGCATTTTAGCCTTGCGTTTCGCGCCACTACCACCGGAAAGGTCTAGGCTGCAGATATCAACAGAGTTTGCGGCATATGCGGTAAAAATCCACGATCGAAAAAACAATATTTATGCGTTTGAGATGCAGGATTTGGACTATCATGGGGACAAGGAATCGTAGAGGAAATACAAGTTCTGGAAGCGATCTGATGATACCAATGATGGTTCATATTCAATATCTACTCGTTACTCCTTGTTTTTCCATTATTGTCATCAAATTAGCCCTTAGTTACATTTCGAAACAGGAAAGTCAAACTTGCTCTCAAACTAACAGTTTGAATGAATGCCGTTACAACTTTCGAAGCTTAGACCCTCACGAATAAGGCAGCAATCTGATCCTCTGGAAAGATGGTCAGCCAATAACTGGGACGTCGATGACCGGCTGTATATTCGACCTCTATCGTTGTGGCGGGCATGTTTGTCTAACTACGTTAACTCACACAGATTGCTAGTACAAACCTATGTCGCGGATCTATAGTCACAAATAGTACCGGGAGTCCTGTCTTGTCGCGTAAACAAGTCAACCGTGTTATTCCATACAACGGACCATTGCACCATGCTTGCAGCAGCTGTCTCAATTGTCGAAATGCTGGTGAAAAGCAGTATTCCCATTGCTCGGGCAGCTCGACTACATATTACTGCATATATGCAAACCAGTTTTCTTAAGGCTTTCTCTTTTTCTTCTAACTTTATCCAGTAAGCAATGCCAAGGGGAAGATTTTTGCGGCTGTGAATACTGAATGTGAAATATGCACTATATCAACGCCAGTCTCCTAAAAATGGTCGGTTGAGGAGCACAGTGGCAGTCTTTCGGTCCGGTGTCCAAAAATCATATTTTCTCACGCCACCGACGCGTCACGTCAGACACTCTGGCCTACTGATTATGGTTATTGCGTCTCTCACCAGTCAGCGCTACTCCATGAGAGTCGTGTTTGATATTACTGTCTCTATAAGTAGACCTTGCCGCCCAGGGACCGGTCTCTGATTGCACAGTATCTACATTCAAGTAGGGCTATTCCGCAAACACAAGAACACTTTTAGATCCACATTCTTCACAGGCCCCAATGATATCCTCAGGAGTTCATTCAAGTGCGAGTTTCACGGTATCATGATCAAAGATATCAAAAGGACCATCTAAATTCATAGTATGCATGATCCAAGCATGATCCCTATTAAGCGGAGACATTAATTCTTTGTGTGACCTGTATAACTGAGGCCAGCTAGCTTGGTCGTAAACCAAGTGTGACAGAAAAGTACTAAAGCAGCTGTCGTAGCGCGGAGGAAGACTGCTTTGTTTTTGTCTTTTAATATCATTATGATGCCTACTCTGGTTCATACGGTTTCAAGAATATATTATACATCAGTAGCATTCTGTCTCATAATTTAAATGTTGCATGGTATATGAATAATTTAGAAGCAATGTGGACATGCGAAGGATAACAGACAATAAAATCAAATAGAAAAGAAATACCTAAATACTTCTCCTCCAAGCAGGTCTAGAATTACTCGAGATTACTGGTGACTGATACTCTTTATACAAGGAACGGGCATCCCATTCAACAGGTCGGTTCTCAGGCGACGAAGGACCTGGAGGAGAAGGGCATCCAACAAGGTTCTGTCCGATTCCATCTATTATGATCTTAAAGGCAGGATGTCCACGATGGAGTTCGCCCTTCGCGAACTGCTCTTGTATCGTTTCATGTGCCATGGGATCGAACCATAATGTATGGATGATCTGTCGTTCCATTTCGAACACATCTGGAAACCTAGTATACCATCAGATGTTGGACCTCGTCGGAATGGAGAATACTAGCGCACTGCGAAGTAAAATCAGAGAACACTTCTTCGTAGACGTTCCTGACAGATATCTGGGATCGAAGGTTTGCGAGAGAAAGTTGCTTTAATCGTTCGTAATTAATCTGGAAAGGTGGGATCAGTTAAGTCCGAAGGAGCTCTTGACGGATTGATAACATACCATATTAGCTAGTCGGTACATAGATTTGGGTGAGCAGGTAGGGAAGTCATCAGATTCATGTTTCCGGGTTTCGCGGGCGCTGTTCAGGATCGAGAAGCACAGACGGCCCGTATACAGATAAAGAAGTAGGCATTTCCATCTATTCCGGGATTAAACCGAGCCGAAAGATGACAGCGTGAGCGTACATACGTTCTATATGAAACATGACTCAAAACGCAAGCGTGTCCCATTCTACGAGGTCGTGGCGAGTCCGAGTCGGGATGTTCCATGGAGCACCTAGAGTATGGGATGAGGGTTTTCGGTATACGACATCTTACGGAAGAACCCACCCGTCACCTTGCTCCAGCTCATCATCCAGGTCACTGTCATCGCCGTAGCCATATTCCTCCGTGACTTCGTCAAGGGGAAAAGCATTGTCGGTCTCGTCGACGGTATTTTCAATTATGACTACAGCCAAGTTGGCGACGACTAATAGATCAGGGTCAAAGAAGACTTACGACGATCAAGACTATCAGTAACATTCAGCAAGGCCCGTTTGCTCCCAAAAAGGGCTCTTCGTTTGCCGACTCTTCCACCATATAACCGTCGACTGTACAAGTAGAAGGTGACGTCAAAAAGATCCCCGGATGTAATGGCGTCGTGAAACACGTTCGATGCCTTTGCCGGAGATACTGCACGGGCAGTGGGAGAAGCCACAGAGGCTCGAAGGAAAGAGACAGTAAACTCGAACACCAAATTGGCATCCGGTCTGACGAGCATTTTTCTAGGATCGATTCTGGCGGCAACGAACATCTTGGGTCGAGGCGTAGCCACCGTCGTAGGTCCCAGGCAGTATGCGTGCGTTGGCGATACTGCCATTCGTCCGGAAATGGACAGCACATAGCCTTGGAAGTCGGCACTGTCTGGTGTGATATAACCAATATCCACTTTAATTTCTCGTCGGTCACCCGCGGTTTCGGAAGAGCGGACGAAGAAGGTCCATCCCAAGGAGCAGGTGAAGCCTTTCTGTGGGTATCGATGTCCATGAAAATGGCTGGGGAACGTGAAAGTCGTCTTTACGGTCAGGGGGTCGACGGAGATAATTCGATAAGGTTCTGTAAGAAGCATGGTCATGACTGCGGCTGGAGATGCTGTTAATTCATGAACTGTGCTAGTTCGCGGTGTCGAGGTGTTGCGGAACCTCGGTAAGGTGGTGGTAAGCCAGAAAGGATAGTATCAGTTGGTAGCAGTCCTATATTGACTCAAAGCTGCTCAAGTGACGGCGTGAGGAGTAAAAGTCCTGAAACACGGCAAGTATATTCTGAAACACCGGCTGTATGATAGATGGTGTTAACACTGCCATTAATGATGGCCGCATGGCATTATGAGGATTTGTAGGATTCGGCCCCGACCAAAGATATTCGATAAGTCCTTGTTGCCTGAGAGAAGTCCAGTCCAGGTCCCGAAGGACAGGGGAGGGGTGCCATTTGTTGGATTCCTGAAGTACAGATTAATACAGGACTTGAGATTGTCTAAGAGACGGGATATAGATATAAACCTACCTTCTTACATAGGAATAGGAAATTGATTCTGTATGGTGGGTAGGTGCTCAACGCTCAGCGGAAACCAAGCGGAGAGGGTAATTGAAAATTTGCGGGACTGCGGTCCGATCTCCGCATCTCTCCCACTAACCACCATCTCTTCACCAATCCGTAGCCAGTTTTAATGGCATTGGGCCTCCCTCTTTGGAGATTTAGAGCGCCTTCTGGCCTTGTTACCTTTACCTTATTTTCATTTGTTTTATACAATTTCAGGAATCATCCGCAGTCGCTCAAGAGCCCGCGTCGAACACAACCAACTCGACATCATTGCCCAAAGTTCTTTTGGTATCAGCCTTCTATCCAATTTACCCGTCGAATCATAGAGCCTCTGGGTACAGGAAATGGCTATCCACTTTTTTGGGCCAAATAACCACTGATATCTACCTGTTTACCTCTCCGGACATGACCGAAATCGTACGGGACCTCAGAAGCTCTCTGCCTATTATTATTGACACCACATACACCTCTCCCTTCAGCATCCCCCCTCTACGTGGCCGAATTGACAGATATGTTCAGATGAAAGGCTTGGACCGCCACCCAGGGGAGCATTCAGTGGAGCTGTACGCGACGCGGAATGGAAAACCGTTCTTCGTCTACGAGGCGGTGAGGAATCTGAGCTCGAAGTACGATTATGCATTTTGGATAGATGTGGAGAGCTGGGGGACTGGCTATGGTAATATTGCTTGGCCCGATGCCATGAGCACCCAGGAAGTCTTGGCAACCGGACGCGAAGTCCGTGACTGTATTTTCTTTCCCATCCATGCACTTCCTCATACAACCATGAAATACTGGGGGGACCAACTCGGACCCATAGACAATGCTTTCAGCCAGAGTTAGTCTTCGTTCGCTCACTTCGCGGATTTTTTATGACTAAAAATCACCCAGGTTCGTTCTTCGGTGGTTCCTTACAGGCACTGGACTAGTGGCAGAGAATGTTTTACAGATATCATGATGATTACCTCTCGCAAGGTGTCTTTGTCGGTGACGATGAGACCCTTGCTAACGCTCTTTTCCTTCTTTTCCCATCTCGTATGGTCACGGTTGACCTCGATGTTTGTGAAAGCTATCGGTATCCCCTTGCAAGTCCCTTGGATCGGCATCGCATACGCAACGCGTGGGACATGTGGAATTGGTTGGAATTCTGGAATTTCAGGCATGCCAAGGAGTCGTGTTTGACGCCGAGGTCCACGTCAATGATGGCTGTTTTAAAAGCACGATTTGGGCAAGGCTGGACGCCGCCCAGGGCCACCTTGGTGAGCTAAGCTAATGTGGGGTACGTGATTTTGGCCTGTACTTCCGTGCTCTACTGAGTGCTCATCTTTTGCAGATTTTCAATGAACAACTTCTGTACTATATTTATATCATCGACGTTCATACCAGCACTCTCTTATAATACTATTTCGGACAAGCAAACTTTGCGCTGCATCAGCATGCTCACTTTGTGACTTCGGCACTTTTTCGAAATGAATTTCAAGGAATTTGCCGGCAGTAGGGAAGCTGCTTAACCTCGGAGCGATGCAGTACTCGGGAATTAGGACTATTCTTTTGATGTGAAGTATGTCCGTTCTTTGATGTACTGGTAATACTGACAAGCTTGCGGCTGCTAGGACGTCCTCACTCGAACCCATCGATTGTTCACCACCGGCTATGCTTTGCGCTATAAAGACGCCACTCTATGCTCCTGCCACAGTACCATCAAGCTTACCTATGTCCATGCGGCAGCGGCGTGGCTTACGAATGGAGAAGCTGCACGCATATAAATGTCTAGCTTCCGTCGAACATGGTTAGACCCCTTCTCCGCCAGCGACATGCTCTTGACGAAGCTACGACCGGACGAATGGATTTCGACACGCCAAGTTAGATCTTCCTTCTCCCTTCCAGTCATCAGAGAAATCGGAAAACATACACTACAAAGCGGGCCATTTGCGTTGGGATGGACTTTACAATGCACTATTCTCATCCAAGCCGTTGGAAAAAAGACCCACAAAAGATTGCAAGCGATCTGTAATCTTTACGTTTTACGAGGCTCAACGCCTGCTCCGCCTGGTAGTCTGTCTTTCCGTGCATCGATCGGGAGCAGTCAAGAGCAGGCAAAGGTAGTCGAAGTTCTTACAACAACCAAATGCCTTGGGACGTTTATCCTGGAGGAATCCACATTTAAGGACAAGTCGCATCTGGCCATCAAAATCATGGTCGCTTTCCCGAAGGATGTTGTTGCCCAGGTGACTGTTCCGAGCGTTATTCGCCCAAATGCTGCTCCCGCCGATGCCGTGATCCCAGATGTTGTTCCTCCTGACGTCGCTCCTCCGGATCTTCCTCCAGATGTTATTCCTCCTGATATCGCTCCCCCGGATCTTCCTCCCGAAGTCACTCGCCCAGACGTTGCCCCCCCTGAGGACCCTCTCCCTCCAGTTATTCGACCGAATCCCACCCTTACGTATTGGTCGAGGGTTCTAAAGGTTATCAAGTCCACCCTCGACAATGACGGTAAACTACCTATTGATCTCAAATTCATGGTGCATACACGCATGTCACCTCATGGACGTATCGGCTTCCCGAAGGCGGTCTTTGCGAGCAGTATTCTATTGGAGGGATACTCATCATATCTGGATAGATGTATGCGCGTAATTCTGATGAATCGATGGCTGCTGATAGTCGATACTTCCAGATGTAAATACGGGCGCAAAGTTGGTCGATCTCGATTCTGATGACAACAAGCATACAGCGTGGGATGCGTATGACTATGACGCAGATAGTGATTTCGATGGGGACGACAACGATCAAGATGCAGCGGATATTGATGCTACAACGACGCCTACGACAGGTGATCTTTACTCTCTGCTTGTAGTGCAGTCATCGACTGACTCACAATTGCTCATGATTAGATTTTGACTTCGAAGGCTTTGAACCAGTATGCGAGGAGCCGTTGTCATCATTACATCCGTTAGCGGAATCTGTGGAGTGGCCGATACCGTTCCCACCAAGGTTATCACCAGTGGCACGAACAGCATCAGTATCTCCATTGATCGTTGGCGCGGCGCTGCCGGCTGCTGAAGCACAGTCCGAGCCCTCTGACGGGCCATCGTCACAGTTTTCACGCGGGGATGAAATCTGTGAAACAGGGCTGCAGGGACCAACCCGTTTGGGGACTATCTGTCATGTTAAGGACACCGCATATACGACGTGGGCTGCTTTCCTCGGAAACGCGATGAAGTCTGACTATGTCCCCTAGCTGGAAAGCCTTTCTGGCATATTTGTACACTCAAGAGATATCCTTTGCGTCTCTCAAGTCTAATGGAATTCCTCGAACAGCAACTAAAGATGTATGCTCGCCAAAGTCGATGTATCGCTTGGCTGTGAAGGTGAGCAATTGCAGTTCACAAAACGCTGCTTCTTCTGATATACTATCAGGCAGACCTTGAAAGCCTGAAAGAGATGGCGTTCAAAAATATTCGTTCGCAGTTGACACCGAGTAACATTGTCACCGAAGTCTTTTCGAAGTTCGCCTACCAGTATGTGGAATTCATTTTTTTTATTGGCGTTACAGTCTAACAGTCGTGTTTAGGCACCCTGACATACTTGATATGGAGGTTCGGTGTTTGATCGAGAAATTTACTGACCCTCTGGTATACCCTCAGTGGGAAAGGAAAATGGAGGAGGTTGCGCGCGGCGATTGTCCCCATGGAGCTTTGGTGGTAAACCGGGTCATGCGTTTGACTCTGTTAGAGCGGGCATCATTGGACGAGAACTTACAGCCTTCTGCATGTTAACTGTTCATTGAGCAATTCCCAAGTGTTTCCAGTGTCTTCCGATCCGATCAATGAGCATATGACTTTGTCTGCGACAGTTATTTTTTGAAACTGATCTAATAGTGATTTTGAAGTGTGGGGAACGATAAGGCAGTCCAGATTTCTGTCGTGACCTCAGAACACCGCAGCAAAGACTGCCAAGCACGGAAATTGTAATCCACGATATCATACTGCTGGCTCTTTTCTCTCGTGTACGCGGGAGCGGTAAGTCGTGATGGAGGTTTGGAACGTCACTATTCAGGATGGTTCGGATGAGGCGGATTGTCGATCGGTTATCCTGATAACGGCGCCTAATGCCATCGATACGAATGTCCATGCAGTACTACTGCACAACGTGGTTTCTCACGGAGAAATTGTACGTATAAAAGGCTCGGCTTCCTTTGACAGAACTTTGATCCCAATCCTCACTAACCAGATGGTTTTGGAAAAGTGCCGATCCGACGAATGGTTCTCATCTGTATCGCTGTAAATCAAGTTTGGTGAACAAGTGAAGGGTTGTTCAGGGTCAATGCGTGATCGACGTATCTTCGATGTATGTCCTTACACTTGTCTTCTTCTTCTCGTTGTCTTCACCATTGTCTTTTCTATATGTTCTCCCTTTATATATTCGTCTGTGTTCATGTCTCACTCACCTTCCTATATATTCAGAGCAGCGAGCAGCTGCAATCTTCACCTTCGTATTCACCGCTTACAGTGCAAGATAGATAAAAGATTTCGCTCTGGCCTCGAACCAGAAACGCGGACGCCGGAAGCCCAAGACTCCCAATCTAGATCTACCTATGACTCCTTCCCATTTGGATGACGGTTTTCTCGGATTTCTTGATCATTCAGAACGACCGCGCCCGTCACATTCGAGGCTTTCAACGAGCTGAAAACGTTGGTCCGTGGCTCTCTCAACACAGCTCTCTGCACGGTCACAGCCTCGCGCGCAACCCGAGTCGCAGACACAGCCTCCACTCCAACCCCAACAGACCCAGCAGACTAACCCTGCTCTCTGGTTAGGTCCTCTAACGGGTAACCCTGCGGCCGGTACCCCCAATCCACTTTTCACCGTCTTTCCGGAAGTCGAGGCGACCACAATCACTTCAGTCATCCAACACGAGCTCCGATGCTCTGACCTGTACAAACTTGACCCGCGGTATCGCGATAAGGCAGAATGGATGACGTTGGAGCTGGATGATACTACTCACGAACTCTCAGACGACGACGCATCCTTCAAGGAGTATAAGAGGCTCAGCTCCATCATTGTGCCTCTGTCCACCTATTTCTCCATTCTTGTCGCGCACTGCCAGCCGACAACGACTTCCGCCTTACTTGCAATACAGCTCTTCCGCTACATTGCTCATCTAACGAAAATCGCTTCCGAATATGAATGGCATGCCGTCGTCTCATATCATATAGCATTCTTGGCTAGGCGGCAACGCGAGATGATTGACGGCGACTACGGAGGATGGGGGCATATCGACCTCGAGCTTCGGGGTGAACACCTCTTTCCTAATAGGAAGGCCGAGGCCTCTTCTCTTACAGCAAATACAACACTTCTCGACCGACCATTTTAGGAGACTGGCTATCGTATGGTGCATATTTCACATTCAATATTCACAGCCACAAAAATCTTCCTCTTGGCATTGCTTACTGGATAAAGTTAGAAGAAAAAGAGAAAGCCTTAAGAAAACTGGTTTGCATATATGCAGTAATATGTAGTCGAGCTGCCCGAGCAGTGGGAATACTGCTTTTCACCAGCATTTCGACAATTGAGACAGCTGCTGCAAGCATGGTGCAATGGTCCGTTGTATGGAATAACACGGTTGACTTGTTTACGCGACAAGACAGGACTCCCGGTACTATTTGTGACTATAGATCCGCGACATAGGTTTGTACTAGCAATCTGTGTGAGTTAACGTAGTTAGACAAACATGCCCGCCACAACGATAGAGGTCGAATATACAGCCGGTCATCGACGTCACAGTTATTGACTGACCATCTTTCCGGAGGATCAGGTTGCCGCCTCGATCCGTGAGGGTGTGAGATTCGAAATTTGTGACGGCATTCATTCAAACTATTAGTTTGAGAGAAAATTTGATTTCCCTGTTTCGAAATGTAACTAAGGGCTAATTTGATGACAATAATGGAAAAACAAGGAGTAACGAGTAGATATTGAATATGAACCATCATTGGTATCATCAGATCGCTTCCAGAACTTGTATTTCCTCTACGATTCCTTGTCCCCATGATAGTCCAAATCCTGCATCTCAAACGCATAAATATTGTTTTTTCGATCGTGGATTTTTACCGCATATGCCGCAAACTCTGTTGATATCTGCAGCCTAGACCTTTCCGGTGGTAGTGGCGCGAAACGCAAGGCTAAAATGCGCCTATGGATTTGACTTGTGGCCATTTTCACTGCTTCATCGGCAAGAGGCACCACTCTTATTTGAAGATCCCAGAGATTCGGCCAGGATGTCATGGAAGCTTGTAATATTCTATCCTACGAACACAATTAGCCGACGGACTGATCATGTCGGGGACGAAGTGAGGGACTCACAATAACATTGTTTTCTTCTACTCGAACTCTCGTTTCGTCAGCGCAGACATGTAATGACTTCAGACCGCGGCAAAGAACCAAAGCATCTAGCATAGGATGGTCCAAGCACCATGCTCCGCCATGGTGGGGCTCAATGTGAACTGTCGTCAAGGACGAAGAATTTGAAGTGATGACAGTCGGAAGAAGGGATGAGATATGGAGATTGCCATCGATCGAGGCTGACAACATGTTAAGTGACAGTTCACGAAGCCCTGTATAGGACGAGAGATACGACAGTAACGCCAGACTGGGATCGTAATATGTGAGAGACACCAAGCATATTCCATGCTCCTGTAATCCGTCCCAAAATACATCGGGTATGGTAATATGCATGGTTAGGCTCTCCAGGTGACGCAAATGGGATATGAGTTTGGGGATTTCACATGCGTATAACTCGGAGAACATTTCACCGCCTATCGACAGTGTCTTCACCGTACTGTACGTTCCCGTAGGCAAAGAGCTAAACAACAATGAAATTGATCCTCTTTCATCTACGTCGGGACCCGAACACCAGACGTGAGCATCTATACTTTCTATGTCTGGATTGTAGCCGAGGAAAGTAATGAGCTCGCTGCTTCTTTGGCCCCGATAGCTGATATGTCGAATGTGACGAAATGGAGACAAAGGAATGTCCCAGTGGCCGTCATTGTATATCTGCAGGCTGGACAAGAGGGGTAGATTTCCGAATAGTTCAAACACCAGCTCAGCATAGTTCGGTCCCGACTCCCCGCTACTCCTCCAACTGAGATGGGTAATCAATATCAATCAAGTTCGTCAAAATCTTACAAAACTCACCATAACGATTTCAATGAAACCATCGATGGAATAGCATGAAGGAAGAGGACATCCAAAGAATGCAGTGTGCTCTCTCTCAGTGCGAACCAAGAGGGGTGAAGCCGGAACTTTGTGGGCAGATAGAGGGAAAGACGAATGATGTGTTGCGCCAATTTAGGACCCGAATTAAGTGATTTAAGAAAGATGGGGGCTGAGCTAGAGTGTAGCATCGAAGATAGATCGATGTTGACTGATTCAAAGACGAGAGGTGTGGCGACATCGCGGAGTAGCTGGCATGTACTTCGAAGGTGCCGACGAGTTTGACTATCTGCCTGCGTGCTGGTTAATTTCTTTCCGGCAGTATAAGGTGGTTGTTACTTCAAGGGCAACCCTGTTCAGGATTTCGTTGGGCACTGAGAGCAGCATCGTAGACGAGTGATAATGATCACAAGGGAAGGTTGCCACACAAAGAGAGGCGCCCAGGGACAAAACACCCAAGTTCTAGCTGGCCGTTTGATCCGACGGCCCGGCAACAAACGGTATCAGATGCCGACCTCTCACGATTGGCAGACGACCATAGCTGGTAGTAATTATTGATCTGCGCCGACAATTTTGCACTTTTGAAGACACTTTATTTGCATAACACGAATAACCAGTATGATAAATAAGGCTAAGCGTTGACATAGTCATGTGGAGGCAACAGGAGGGAAATTTGAGAATTTGGGAAATCAGGTGACATGACCGGATAATAAAACATGCACGGGTCATATAATCAGTATCAAAGAACAAATAAGGAAAGATAATGAAAAACGTCATTTGCTGGAGCGAGATATAGGTACCGCTGATCTTCTCTGAGATGTCCCTTCCTCCAGAGTCAGAACCTCTGTCCATTGGCTTATACCAAAAACAGCGCGGTATGGAGATGGACCTCGCTGAGTTAATTAATACGTGTTATGAATTAGCGGAGGCAGCCAATACTTCCTGGGACCCACGATAAACAGCTCTGCTGGGAGTCCGAGCAGAGAAGTTGAAGGACACGAAGTAGGATTATACGAAGGCGTCGGGAGATGGCACGGTACGACTGGGAGCGGATGAGAAGCCCCAAGAGTCCGACAGAGAGCCATCAGCAGCAGCGCTTGTCGAAGGGACTGGGGATAGCTTATGCTGGGCAGTAGCGTGAAGCATACGTAGGGGTAACACGGTGCCACTGCCAAGGTGTGCGCTGGCGTTCGACGCACGGATCTGGTGCATTGCAGTGGCTCGTTTTGTGCCATCTCATATTCGCCGGCTTCGCCGTTGTGAAAGCGTCGTGAAAGTACAGTTAACGTCGCTGCAGACTATCTTCCTGCTGAGAAAATAGCGATAAGGATGCTGAGTGACTAGTAGAGA